ATAAATCAAAAAATTAGCCGGGCGTGGTAACGCGTGCCTGTAATTCTGGCTGCTCAGAAGGCTGAGGCGGAAGGATCGCCGGAGCCCAGCAGGTCGAGGTTGTGGTGGCCGGGAGCGGCCACTGCACTCCAGTCTGGGTGACAGAGTGCGACTCCTAAAAAAAAAAAAGGATAACTTCATTTCTTAAGAGAAACTATCCTTTTGAGACCGGGTTGGATCTTTTCATTATCAGATTATAAAGCATCCTTTATAATTACTGGTTCATCCTTCAAATTAACTAAAAAAATTTAAATCTGTCTTCTCTGCAAAAAGTAGCTCTATGAATGAGCTGGAATGGGAAGGGTATATATGTTTTTATTCTACTCACTTTATCCCAGTGGTAAGCACAATGCACTACTTAAATGCTTGTGGATTGGCTACCTCATTGATGGGTTATAAAACACCTTCCTTGAACATTTTGACTATGTGTATCAAGATTCTAAAAAAAAAAAAGTCCATGCCAATTGAGCCACTGATCCAATTTCTGGGTATTAACTCAAAATCAGTAACCCCAAATTAAAGAAAAAGGCTTACACACAAAGAGAATAAATATAAATCAAAAATCACAGTCTTCTTAATATTTCATAATAAAGAAATGGGTGGCTAAACCATGGCACATCCATTAAAAGATAACCAGTAGCCATAAAAATGATGTTAACCAATGGTATGAAAGAAAAATAAATAGATCTAGATATCTATATTTATATCTATCTATGTATCTGAGAGATCCAATATAAGGAACAATAACAAACAACAGAAAAAAATCTGTGCATTTAAAGGGAAGTTTTTCTGTTGTTTGTGCTATTTTCTGAAAATCTGCAATGTTTCTCTAGATATCTTCTATAATGGAAAAAAGTAATAAACGATTACATTGATTTCTTTAGTTCCTCTTAAGTGTAGAACACAATGGTCACCAACAATCTCCTATGGCTTCTGACACAAAAATCTGATCTTGACAGAGTTTTGAAGAAGAAAGAATAGAATGACTTTCTCCTTGGGTTATATCATGCTGCTTGTTATTATCACCAAATATAGTTGTTGAAATTAGCAAGTGATTGATTGAGACCATGAAAGCTCGAAGCCCCCAAAGGGCTAACAGTGTTGTAAACCTATTTTGAAAGTTATTGTGGCTTTTAGCTATCAAACAGGAAAAATGAAAAACAACAGCAAATGAATAAAGAGTATATTTACCATTTTAAATAATGTTTGCACGTCCTTAATCCAACTGGAAGTGATGACTCTAGTATGAGCTCTTTGAGAAAGAGGCAGATTGAGTAAGAAAACCACATTGAGACAGTACAGTCTACACAAATCTTCCATATCCTGCAGGGTCAAGCAATTACCTTTCATCTGAATGAAAATAAAGAAGGTCAGTCAAAAAACAGCAGGTTATGACAGTGCACGATAGCCGTGTGGCACCACAAAAGCCAGTATCTACCTTTGCTGTGCAAAAATCACACATTCTTCATTCTACATGTTTGAGACAGTCCTTTTCTTCATAGGTAAACTCAGCTGCACTTACAGAGACGTGAGACAAGGGAAAGCTGCCCACTTAAGAGCAGTGAACATAAAACATGTCTCTGTATTTTCAGTTAGGCCAAATTTTATATGAGCTGGCCAAGAGCTCACAGGACTCTGCATCGATAGAGTCACACATTAAAGTTCTATTCTGTCCAAAGCATCGTATTTTTAAAAGTAATATTGAAAATTACCAGTATGAGGACACCAGGATGGCAACACGTCTGAAAAACGAGCCCCATGAGAACAAGGGTGGAAAAGTGGACACATCTGACATCATGGAACAAGGACATCGTAACTATCTTCAAATGTTTGCAGAATTGTCGGGGAGGCAAGAGTGACACCTTTTCAGGGAACCTTCAGGGACTATTAGGGGTTTGGAGTTCCAGAAGGATAGATTTGACGTAGTACCATTTTTGTGAGAATGATTTAAAATAGCATGCCTACTCATGTAGACATGTTTCACTGAAACATATATTCAAGAAGATATTGGAAAACCAAGTATAAAAGATGTGAGGTAAAAGATCACGAGCCCTGAAAATTTCTGAAATTGTGGAAGGGATGAGATTTCACTCTTCTTTAATAGAAATACTTAGCTAACAAATTCTTGGTAAACCCTATAATCCACAAAGAAGGTTGAGAACTTTAGTAACTCTTCAGCTAGGGTGGCACCAAGATACTGCAGTAGGAATGGTCTTTCAAAAGACAGTTTGGTATTGTGGAACTTATACAAGGCAGGCCTGAGTTCAAGCCACACTGCTATTTAAGGAGTATTTGGTTTGAGGAGTGTTACCCAGAGTACTTGAACTTCAGTGTTTTCATATGTGGAACATAAATAATAAAGCCTTGCTTGAAATGCTTTTGTGAGGATTTAACGGCACAATGCATACAAAGAGCCCAACACATAGTAGTGCAGTAGGCTCCTACCAAGGGCTAATACCCTTGCTTGTTTCTATTTCCTTTGGATGATTTAGACTAAATACGTACTAAGTGAAATATCTGTATGGTAAAACACAAAATCCAATAACAGTGCAACTGATGTTTCCTGAAAATTATAAACGTTAATTTTATTTTTTGAAGTTTATATAAATAAATAAGGGAAAATATGAAGTATCAAGTGAAAGAAATGAGGGATAAAAATCAATAAAATTTCAAAAGTGTAGGGCACCAGTGTTTCCCAGTGAAGTTAAAACAACCACACCTGTTCACTGTCAGCCTTCTGACCAGAGGAGTTCTTCCTGTTTTCTAAAAAGTGATGGTACATTCTCAAAGATAGTGAGCATGAAGTAACACAGAGGACACGCCGAATGTCAGATCCTTCTGGCCACACTTGCTTAAGCAGAGATATAGTCTCACGTGCCTGTCACAGAAAAAAAAAAATTGCAACATGTTGTGATGACTAGAAAAATATTTTTATTCTTAAGAGACCTTACTAGAAGGAATCATACGGAAAAAGACAGATATGACTACATAAAACTATAATTATTTCTGTGAAAAATATGATAAACCAACATTTTAAATGGGAAAATTATTTTAACACGTATTTCAATAAGACCAATAAACTGCAAACATGTAAAGAGTGCCTGTAAGCCAATAAGAAAGCGCCTAAGCCTTTAATAAGACTATAATTCACTAAAGAAATACACATATTATTAAAATTTTTAAGAGTTCAGTTTCGTTAGTGATAACCAAAAAAATTAGGTAACCTATTCTTTACTTTCAAGTGAGTAAAGTACTTTTCAATGATAATAGCCCTGTCAATCATGTGATGTGTCATCTCTCTTACATGTTGCTAATGAGAACACAGATAGGAACAGATATTGCAAAGCTGTCCGATAATACGTACAATTATCATTAAATATGTTGATACTTTTTGATCGAGTATTCAAGTTTTAGGGATCTAACCCAAGTAAATAATCCAAAACATGTACCAAATATTTCGGCACCAATATGTGATCACAGAGTTATTGTAAACATAATTTTCAAATAATGTAAATGTCTAACATTAGAAAAGTATTATATATAAAATAAAATTTGTAAGTAAAATAAAATTTGTGAATGATTCTTAAACTTAAAAAGTGTTTATAATATTATTTTAAAAGTGAATGTTAAAAGTATGTGTAACATACTCTCAATTGTATAAAAATACAGAGAACACCATTGAAAGAATACATTCAAAAAGTGGGACCTTTTGCCTCTAAGTGGTGGAACTATAAGTAATTCTAATGTAATGAGATGAAAGGTATTCAGAGGAACAATAAGACCATGACATGCTGAAATCTAGGTATTACACTTCTTCTTTTTTTTTTTTTGAGTCGGAGTCTCACTGTCGCCCAGACTGGAGTGCAGCTCAACCTGCTGGGCTCGGCGATCCTTCCGCCTCAGCCTTCTGAGTAGCCGGAATTACAGGTGTGCGCTACCACACCCGGCTGATTTTTTGATTTATTGTAGAGATGAGGTCTCGCTGCCCAGGCGGGTCTCGAACCCGTGGGCTCAGGCAGTCCACTCACCTCAGCCTCCCAAAGGTGCGGAATTACAGGCTGAGCCACCGAGCCCAGCTGGTATTACACTTCTATTAATTAAAGTTATGTCACCTTATATTCCAATGTGAGGTGCTGGATTACTCACAGGACATTTCACATTTTCCAAATTCTACCTTGCTTTTTCCTAAAATACACACCTACGTAATATAGTTTTGTAGGTCAACCATGTAGTTAAAACCATAGAGTCTGTAGTAATCAACTTTCTAAAATTACCATTTATCTTTACAACTGTAAATATTCTACACAAAATCATACCCTCAGCAAGACTTAAGAAGAGAGAGACCAGGCTCAGTGGCTCAGCCTGTCATCCCAGCACTTTGGGAGACTGAGGCGAGTGAATTGCCTGAGCCAGTGTGTTCAAGACCAGCCTGGGTAATTTGGTGAGACCTCTTCTCTACAATTAAAAAAAAAAATTAGCTGGGCGTGGTGGTGTGCGTCTGTAGTTCCAGCTCCTTGGAAGGCTGAGGCGGAAGGATTGCTGGAGGCCAGAAGGTTGACACTGAGGTGGCTGTGAGTGTGCCACTGCCTTCCAGCCTGGACGACAGAGTGAGACTCCAATTCAAAAGAGAGAGAGAGAGAGAGAGAGAGAGAGAGAGAGAGAGAGAGAGAATAATGATATTGCAAAATAATGGTGTAAGGGGGAAATTAACACATTGCAGCTCTGGAATTCCCCATGTTTCTGTATCACACTTGTTCCTACTCAGGAATTCATAGCTACCAAAGGGAGATTAAAAAAAAAAAATTGTAGGCAACACAGAGGAAGGATATTCGTGAAACGTTACTTGGAACAACAAGTAGAAGTAGTAAATCTACTCTAAATCTGAAAATATTGTAAAGGTAACCAGGTAGAATAGAGCACCGACTACAGAAAAGGAATTTCAAAGCACGCACAATTTAAAGCATCAGACAGTATATTTGGGGGCCAAACAAGCGATGTTAAGAGACAGATGCATATAAAAGGGGTCAGGCACATAATTGAAAGAGACAGACTCAATTTGTAGGAACAAATGTGACTTTAAAGAATAGGAACTATTGGGCAAGAGAAAGAAATGAAAGGAATACTAATAGAAAAGGAAGAAATGAAATTGACTCTGCCGATGGCATGATTTTATATATAGAAAACCTTGAAGACGTCACCAAAAACCATCAGAATTAAAAAATTCAGTAAGGCACAGGATGCAAAATCAATATACTAAAACCAGTAGCATAGTATTTCGATTACAAACTATTCAAAAAATAAATTAAGAAAACAATTTCATTTACAGTATCAACATACAATTAAATACTTAGGTGTAAATGTAACCAAAAAGGCAAAAACCTATATACTGAAAATTATAAAACGCTGATAAAAGAAATTAAAGAAAACACAAATAAATGGAAAGATATCCTATGTTCATAAATCAAAAGGATTAATACTACAAAATGCCCACACTGCTCATAACAATCTACAGATTCAATGCAATCCCTATCAAAAATTCAATGCTATTAAAAAAAAAAACTGGAAAAAAACAATCCTTTAATTAGTATGAAACTACAAAAAGACCCCAAATAGTTAAAATAATCTTGAGCTAAAAGAACAAGCTGAAGGCCTCACACTTCCTGATTTCAAAGCATATTATAAAGCAATTGTTATAAAAATGGCACAGTACTGGTGTAAAAACAGACACATTGACCAATGGAGTCATATAGAAAACCCAGAATAAACCCACACATTTATGGCCAACGGATTGTTTTGATAAAGGTAAAGAGAATACATAATGGGGAAACAACAGCCTCTTCAATAAATGGTGTTGGACAAACTAGATATTCACATGCAGAAGATCTTGTACCATGTACAAAAATCAAGTCAAAATGAATTAAAGACTGAAAACAAGACCTGAAACTGTAAAACTACTAGAAGAAAACACAGCGGGAAAACTCCACAACATTCTGCTGGGCAGTTATTTTTTGATATGGCCCCCAAATCACAGGCAACAAAAGCAAAAACAGATAAACTGGATGACATCCAAAAAAAGCTGCACAGTAAAGGAAACAATGAACAAAGTGAAGAGACAACTCATAAAGTGGGAGGAAATATTTGCACATCATACGTCTGATGAATCAATATCCAAAATGTATGAAGAACTCAAATGATTCAATGGCAAGAAAACAAATAACCCAGTTAAAAAATGGGCAAGGCCGGGCACGGTGGCTCAAGCCTGTCATTCCAGCACTTTGGGGGCCGAGGCGAGAGGATTGCCTGAGTCCAGGGATTTGAGACCAGCCTGGGCAACTTGGCGAGACCTTGTCTCTGCAATAAATCAAAAAATTAGCAGGGCATGGTAGTGTGTGCCTGTAGGTCCAGCTGTTGGAAGGCTGAAGTGGAAGGTTTGCTGGAGCCCAGTGGATCGACACTGGGGTGACCATGACTGTGCCACTGCACTCCAGACTGGGCGATGGAGTGAGACTCCAACTCAAAAAAAAAACAACAAAAAGCCCCAAAACCAAAAAAACAAAAAACGGGCAAAGGATCTATCTATCTATCTATCTATCTATCTATCTATCTATCTATCTATCTATCTACCTACCTAATCTGATCTATATCTATATTTATATATACACACACACCTACATACACATATGACCAACAGGTACATGAAAAAATACTCAGCATCACTAATGATTAGGGTAAATGCAAATTAAAACCACAGTGAGATATCACCTGACACCTGCAAGAATGGCTTTTATCACCAGGGTAAAAGGTAACAAGTGTTGGAGAGGATGTGAAGAAAAGAGAACTCACAAATTGTTTGTTGGTGGGAGTGTAAATTTGTACAGCCCTTATGGAAAATGGTGTGACGATTTCCCAAAAAACTAAAAATAGAGCTACTCTATCGTCCAGTAATTCCACCAAAGGACCTGAAATCAGAATGTTGAAGGGATACCTGACTCCCATGTTCACTGAGCACGATTCACAATAGCCAAGACATGGAATCAACCTAAGTGTCCACCAACAAATGAATGGATAAGGAAAATGTGGAACATATATGCAACAATAGAATACTATTCAGCATTTAAAGAGGGGGAAATACTCTCACTTGCAACCACGTGGATGAATCTGGAGGTCATTACGCTAAGTGAAATAAGCCAGGCACATAAAGACAGATACCAAACGATTTCACTTATATGTGGAATTTAATCAAGCCAAACTTATAGAAGTAGAGAGTAGAATGATGGTTACCAGAGGCAGGGGTGTGAGGAGAGGGGATGGAGAGATGCTGATCACAGGGTACAAAGTTTCAGACAGACAAGAGGAATAGGTTTTGAGATCTGTTGTGCAGCAAGGTGACAACAATAAATGATAATGTTTTACATATAACTGTGACAGCACATTTCAAAATCTTGCCATAAAAATGAGGTGAGGTGATAGAAATGTGAATTAGCTTCATTTAGTCATGCCACATTACAATCAAAATGTAATAAAGCAATTTTGTTGTTGTTGTTTTCCTTTTTTTTTGAGTCTCGCTCTGTCACTCAGACTGGAGTGCAGTGACCGCTCCCAGTCACTGCAGCCTCAACCTGCTGGGCTCCGGCAATCATTCCGCCTCAGCCTTCCGAGTAGCTGGAACAACAAGTGCGCACTACCACGCCCGGCTAATTTTTGATTTATTGTAGAGATGAGGTCTGGCCAAGTTGCCCAGCTGGGTCTTGAACCTGCGGGCTCAGGCAACCACTCACCTCAGCCTCCCAAAGCACTGGGATTACAGGCTGAGCCACCGTGCCCGGCGTAATAAAGCAATTGTAATCAAAATGGCCTGGTATTGGTATAAAAACAGAC